TTCGAACCCACGGTCCCAGCGACCAAGCGGCACAAGGCCCACGCCTTAGACCGCGCGGCCACTGCGGACCCCTTATTTACTGACAACGTCGTTAAATGAACCACACACACTACTGTATGATTATGTTTCCAAAAACATATTTTCCTATATAAGGCCTATACGCGTTTGGTTTCCCAATCTTGTTAGTCAGCTGACGTGACTGCAAAGTTATATCTGAATGTTAAAACGTAACTCTGATCGTCCGTGTTACAGAGTTCGAAGTGTGGGATAAGAAAGCTTTCCGGTTCATTACACTCACCTCTTTTCAGAAAAATCTTCGTCACAACTGGAACGAATCCGTGACCTGCATCCGCGACCACCTGGATACATAATAGGGCCCCTCTCTCAACCCCTACAACCGGTCTGTCAGATGGTCTTCGAGGGACTTCTATTTTCGCGAGAAACTACAGTAACTCCATCTTCTGGTGGCACGTGCGATGCCGCGTCATGAACAGCTGTGTCATTTTGAAAACCATGAGTGACGATTAAAGGTCATGGTTTGAAAATCATACGCCGGTTCATTACGTCACTGAACTATTTGTGCACGCTGAAAAACTTGTAAATTAACGTCAGTACTAATAAACATTTTTAAAACTTCTAAGATCTTAAAACAGCGTTCTGTTCATTAAAGTCATCAACACAAACCAACCACTGCTACGCACTAAATCTTAGCTTATAATAACAAGCATTTCGTCCCCAAAGGACAATCTTCTGTGTTAATTTTCGACGCTTTCAAATCTGTTAAAGCAGCGCATTAAATTTTACTACAGTATTTTAAAGCAGGAGTTCGCTCGTTCCTGGCGACAGGCTGATCACTCTTCCAAAGAGATCTACCAAATGTCTAGAGAGATCAAGTAATCTCTAAAAAGAGGCTTCCATGACCAACAATGTGCTGTAGAGCCAGAGAAGAGATAAGAGTTGGCTCATTGGCAATGAAACATGTTTAACAATCATTTGTTGGACTAATTAGTACCAGTCAAATGTTTGCAAAATGTTAAAGGCTAAAATGTTGAGTTTTTGTTATGGTATTCTAAAAAGACGCGTATGTTAGTATAAGCTTTAATTTATAATTTGTTTTTGTGTTGATCAGTTTGCATCTACGTGGTATGGAGGGTTACAGGTCTACTGAAAGTTTGCATTTAACGTTCCGCACCAGTACACGACGAACTTAGGTATTATGGAGAACCAGTTTATAAAAAGCCACGTTTATAAAGTAAGATTCACAAAGTTTCTATGTTTTATAGCTTACTTGTACATTCCAAAAGTAACAATGCCGGTGACATTAAAATCGCTACGTCTTATTACGTAGATTCGTAAGCACGACGTTGGCATTAACAAGGGTTACGTCTCAAAAGTGGATTCAAAACGAAACCACTCCTTTGACACTAACAGGCGCTACATCTTATTATGTAGATTCACTAGGTAAACATGGCGCTGACTTTAACACACGCCATGTTTTATTATGTAGATTCACAGAGTAACTGTGTTACTGGCATTAAGAAATGCTACTCTTTATTACATTATGTTTCCATGAAGGGTACTGGGTGTCTGCACTGTTAGATTTTCAAGTATTTGCTCCGTGGAAAGTGTTAGCTTGGTTTCCACTGTCGTTTGAATAGTGACAACTCTGTGACAAGCCTAACCCGCCTGTTCCATTGATAGAATTAGCAATGTCTGTGACCATAGATTATGTAAATTAGTAAAGACACGATTCGGTATGGAGATATCTGTCTGCATCGGACAGATTGGTGAAAGGATTCGAAGAACGGTGAAGTATTAGTTATGACTAAAATAAACTACGTGTTAAGATACTTGGAACGACCCGTTCTTCAAGTGCCTGAGCACTGCGGATCCCAACTTTTTCGTTGGCTTGATCTATAGACAGTCGGTAGTCCTCCTTGGACGAGGGATCAGCCCGTCGCAAGGCCTCTACCTGTACACAGGACAGCACAACACAGAAAAACGCAGACAAACATCCAGGTCTTGAGTCGGATTCGAACCCACGGTCCCAGCGACCACGCGGCCACTTAGACGGCATCTATCAAGAATGATGGTAAAATGTACTGTAAGACTTAAAAACACATTTTTACTAAAACCTGCAAAATCCACGGCATATAAAAGTTAAAGTTAAGTAATTTTGTATAGTAAACAAATTCAGGCACTTAATTAAATAATGTAACACAATTCAATAAGCAATTAACATTTTAATCACTTACACAGAATAATCTTATACCGTCCTCAAATATTTTAACTCTGCTACAATTTTCAAATTATTTATTGGCTATTTTTTAATTATGATATTGTTCTGTATGACGAGACAGAAACGTATATTTAGTTCTGTCTGCGTTTACTTCTACACCTATCTCGTTGCAAGCATCTAGTATATTTCCAGGGTATCCAGAATAGTTCTACGTTATTTTAAATCAAGAGAAAGCATCTCCTTTCCAAAAAGGTTCTGCAAAGCCACGTCTACAGCTCGTTCCATCGAAGCTATTCGATTGGCTCTGACATCCGAGAACGTGAGTTTCATGTTAAGTCTCGATCTATATCACTTCACCTTGTACGCATCTTCAAAGATTTAACGTACGCATCTGAGCTTGTTTATCCTCCTGGCTGTCTCTTCTCGAAAGGATTCCCTTTAATATCGTAGAAATCAGTCCCTACAACTTCGTAAATGGAGTAGGCTCTCCAGCAACTGCCGTCCACATAGGCATGCCATTTCGAGTTCGTCTTAGTTTTAGTATTGTTCTGTACGTGAATAGCCACTTCGACGCGTTGTCAGTAAATTAAGAAACCCCTCTCCTTTAGCTCAAATAATGTCAGTGACTTGGAACAAATGTGCCGTCTCTGTTCCACTAGAAACCTGCTTTACGCAGATGAATCGATGAAGTACTGACCTTATTCTGAAACTTCTAACAAACTAAAATGAAATGCATAATCCCACAAAGCATCAGATCATGTAATTCTGTGAAGTTTTTAAAGCATGAATGCATAAACTGCCTATGTACACAGTGTTAGCAATATGTTCTTGTAGCCTCAAGCACAGCACGTTTTTTCGCCTTATTTCTGCATTTCTGAAAACAATACGCACAAATTTTGATGTGGTAAATGAAAATAACATACCTCAACGATTCACAGTCCAAACCGAGCTTTTACAACATTGAAATAATAAATGTACTCTTACGGAAATAAGTGTTAATAAATGAATGGGTATAATTGTTCCTAATGCTCCACTTTATCCAGATGTACAAAGGAGCGGAGGTACAGCTCCACATATTCCTAATCTCAGCACTACATTGAGGTGAATGGCTAACTTCACACACAGGCCGATCTTTGAGTTCGGAAACGATGCAGTCACGACGTTCCGGATGAACTTATTTCTTCCATCCTCAGGGTTCTCATTATGTAACTTTCTTTAGTCTCCTATTGCTCCATCTCTTCTCAGGACACAACGGTCGAACACAATTTTTTCCACTCGGGATGAGACCAAATTTCACACCCCTCCATTTCACATTTTGAGAACATTTTTGCTGAGGAGCCATTTTAATAAGGACATTATGCCCTCATATACGCTGCGATTTCAAATATAGCGTCTCAGCATGTGGTTTGCCGATCCAATTTTGTATGCATGTCAAGTCTCCTTTGTGTGTGCTAGATGTGCTGAATTAGTAAACATATTTCAGCATTCGCTCAAAGATACAAAGCAGAAGAACTGAGTGTAATAACAGCGCCCACGACATGAGCGGAATAAAGTCAAACCCACTAAGGCAAAAGTCATGTCGCCCAGTGAGTAAATTTTAGAGGAAATCCTTTTCAGTATCGATAATAAATAAAGCATATGTCCTTAGAAAATAATGTAAAATTCAGTTAACTGATTGATGATGCTATTTTTCTGTGTTGTGACGCCGTGTGGACTTCGTTTTGGAGACATTCTGTCCATCTCCAGCCCTGAAGATAGAGACAGCATGTTTCTCCAAAAGAATAGTACCTACCTTCAAGCCTGCGTCAGAACCCAAAGAAAAAAAAATTCCCATCCTCACCGCCTTGAAAACAAATTAACTGATACTTTGATTTGCAGTTGACTGATGAAAAACAAGGTTCATAAAATATTTGTAGCAAAAGACTAATTTTGTACGTGAATAAAGTAGAAAAACTTCTTAATTCATTTACATTATTTCGTTTCTGTGAACTGTTCTTGGACATTCAGTGCCTCGTTCGGTTTGATTTTCTTAATAAATATTAGTATTTATATATTAACAGCTTCAAAAAATTATCTCGTCTTCTCTTTACTTCAGATTCGTTCGCAATGATTAACATTTTCATTTACAAACTATTACTTATACAACATTAGTATGAATCGGTAGGATGTAAGTTAATCAGACCTTACAATCTTCTTAGCCCAATCCGTTTCCAAAGCAAAGGCATGTCCATATTAAGTCCGCTATTTGTCCAACACCAGACATGAGTAAGATTTGAGGTTTCCACGGCAGTGAGTCCGAAGATGGCTGTCTTCTGGGCTGTTGCGCCGTGTAGTCTAACAACCCAGAAGACAGCCATCCACCAAACAATAAGGTTTGAAATTCTGGAAGGAGTTTCATATAACTTACGAATTCCTTCCATTTAAGACCATCTTGTCTTTGTAATATGTAATAATATTACCTTAAAATAGGCCAAAATCTCATACTTCCACGTCCTTTCCAATTCTGCCATCTGATGATACATAACCTAGAGAGATGGAACACAAATTGTTAAATAAGTCAGTAAAGAATGAATTTCTAACATAGCTGGTGGAGTTCAGTCGTAATTAAATAGAGGTATTCTTATGTAGGACTGTTTGCTGAAAATTAAATATACAAGTTTCAATTCTATAATTAATTAGCATCAGCTTTTTTTAATCAGTTATCCCGCAAAACCATCCACATTCAGTAACTTAATTAAATGTAATGTCGGTTGTTTGTTATTTCAGAGATTAACAGGATTTTATTAATTAATTAATTCAATTGGATTTGAGAATCACGGAGTAAATTTTGTGTAACTTTACGTGATGCACACCGCTGCCAGTTAACACAGAGAATAACTGAACGACTCATCAATTTGTGGTCATGTGGTACAAAAATTTAATTAACAGAAATCACCTCTTATTACTTCTTACTTACAATAAAGACATGAAGAAGAAACAGAAAAGCGAGAAACGAAAACAATATTATAAAAAGGATAGTAAGACATAGAAGAAAACAAAAATACGAATAGGAATGATTAGACAAACGATGGCAGAGCAGGAGAAGACGGAGGAGAGACAAACATACAAAATTTCTTTAATGTAATATCGGCATTTTTATTGTTCACAAACAAGATTTAATGCAAATAAATGAAATGTTTATTTTGAACTCTTTTCATTTACTACGAACCTAACTGTTTAGTATGCAGAATAGAATAATATGCTGCATATATATATATATAAGGCTGTATAATAAAGTTTTTAAATGTTCAGATTTCATTAATGTTTCTTGGTTTCATATAGAAAGCTGCCAATTGCACAGATAATAATTACGTGAATCACAGGCGAGACGAAGTTTGTAATTGTGATTTTGGTAAAAATGTGGGAGAAAATTCACTGAGAAAGACACGAAATTCTTAGTTGCAATAGCCGGTTTCCTGCCTCAGATTCGAACCAAGTAACTCCCGAAAGGAGGCGGCAGTTATGTCCATTACTCCATGAAGTTCGATCCCAGAATCATAACATTTCTGTCTCACGAACTTCTGACATTGAGCAAGTTATAATGGGGAAACCAATTCAAGAAGCAGGAAATGCAATTTGGCTTTTGATTCTGCTGTCTGCAAACTTGGTAAATCTGTGAAAAATTGCGAAGTTCACTTCATGAATTATGAATCTGTGGAGAGAAAGAAAAGATAATGGCCTACTTTAAAACAAGACGCCTCGCGTAACGTGAAAGAATTATTCCAGAAATTTCTAACTCCTCGTTAGTTCTCGCTTTTTAAATACATTATTAATAAGGAAAAGCACTAAATATGCACACTAAGGAAATGCCACGTACGGTTTTACACCTTTTAAGGAAAAACAGTCTTCAAGAAACTCCGAGGTCTTTCGTTTGAGCAAAAGCGACAAACCTTCCATTCTAAATCCGTTCATTTACTAAACAGGATCTGAGGTTCTCACAACGGCGAGTTGTAGCGACATGTAGAAGTTTACTGACATTTCAGAGGTATTTGCTGCCTCCATCATCAGGGCTACACAGACTGCACGAAGATTCATATTGTTTACAACCACCATCTTATTCAGTGCTGCCAATTCAGCTTTTAAGATAAAATAAAACTGAATTTGTCCTTCTACTTTTCCTTGCAAAGATCTAAGATTTGATCGACATGAAAATGTAACAGAAAATTGAGGAAGGGTCATTATGAAATACAACAGGGGATTAATTTGCATTTACGCAATTATTATGGTTCATAAACATATCATCGCCCTCGACATCGGAAGGCTATGGAAGGAAAATATGTATAATCACAGCTGAACAAACACAAACAAAACATAATCAGAGATGTGACATGTGTTTGTGTGTGTAATTGAAGAGGTAACACCGAACTCAGGCATGCGCAATACAGCTTACTGTCGTTTCGTAGTGGTAGTGTCAATCTCGTTACATCGCGCACAGATGGCGCAACAAGTGCTTCATCTGCCGGCCTCCCGCAACAAACATGGACTGCTCAGTTCTGGCCTGACTTTCGGGTGATCAACTACGAGTTTGTGCGTTGTGACAGTGAAATAAATGTGCGCCATATCAACAAGCGTCCTGGTGTATAAGTGGTTTAAAATTACATGGCATGTCGTTACATCTTCTGCTAAGGCTTGCTCAGTTCTAATTCCTACGTAAAGTAGGCCGCTTTTTAATGATTAAATCCAGCACTTGTCTATTCCAAAACATGTTTTATGATGAATGAGTTATTATCATTGCAAAAGTATCTTCTTAAATGTAACGGAGATAAAAGAATCTCTTCTTAACCTTTGCCAACGAAATCTGGATAGTTAACTTAAAACTTATTTAGATACGTGAATTAATTCTTTTACACACTCGCAAATAACTTATTTACAAAACAGGTATTACAGATATTATTCACCAAAATTTTGCCGAACTTCGTGGACCATCGTCCTTTGTCTTGAAACATTGATAGTCGCTCAGTCTACAAATTCTCGTTCTGTGGAACCCGGAGGTCAATCGCGGTTCGCAAGACACCGCCAGAGATGCCTATCGTAAGCCACAAGAAGCGAGTTCACACTCTCACAACCTAACTTGTTTCTGTGATATCTTTTTTAATATCAGCGTATTCTCCCACCTAAATCCAAGTCTAAAAAGTGGTAGCCCCTGCATCCATTCAATTTTCCCAGTACCAAATTCCACATGGCCAGTTTCAGTGGTCATTTATCTATCTGGTCCTTTTGGTTTGTGACGCCGTGCAGACTCGTAGGTGCATACCAACATTTTGAAATTACATGCTGTCTCCATCTTCAGGACTGAAATTTTAGTAAGCCCTGAAGATGAAAACAGTATGATTCTCAGAAACGATGGTATCTACTTTCTCGTCTACACGGCTTCACAACCCAAAACATCGTCATTTTCACCGCCTAGACTTTGTACGGCAGTCATGCTGCAAAACATGACCCGAACGAAGGTCTCTCCATCGGGTGAGATTTCAGGTTATCGCAGCAATGAATGTAAATATGACTGTCTTTTGGGACGTTTCACCGTACATTTTGGTAGATACTGACCGACGTTTTAGAAGGACTTGCTGCCTCCATCATCGTTAGGGCTATGGCTCCGATGATGTGGGCAGGGTGTGTCGGGTTAGCAAGCCTGCCTTACATCAGACCACAACCGCTTCCTTCCACATCCTCCCCACTTCATTATTCACTAATCATCCTCTCATTTGACGCTATATAATGTGAGAAACTGAAGGCGTCCTTAAACAAAACATAATAAAAATAAAAACTGAAGATGAATTTGTAATAGTGAAATCACAATATGACCTTTGGCCTGGGTGAATGGGCAGGGAATTTTCCGGTCGGCATTCATCGCCCACTAACTTCGGAGTGCAAGAACGCGTGAAAGTCTCAAATTTCCCGCTGTTTTTATCACATGGAGGCAAAATTTGAAAATGCATAAAAGAATTTTATCAAAACTCACCAGCATCATATTTAATGAAAATTCGTTCAGCCATACTTTAGTTGTTTCATGCTTATAGACAGACGGAAGGACGGGACACTTTTAATAGACATTCTACACTGTAGATATGCATATGTTGCGATAAATCGTTATAACAACCTGCTGCAGTTACAAAATCTCTTCTTTTGCCTACAGACGGAACAACTAATTAATTAATATTGCTTAATTGCACCCTGCTTCCGATGCTTATCAACGGAGAAGTGTGTAACAGGATGAAGGCAACAGACGCCCTACAGCCATGTTTCACCCTCAATTTGCTGTGGTTTCTTCCACTGTTTCATACTCAGTAACGTTTAGCTGAATATTGTTGAATTTTCCACCAAAAATCGATGTTTCGAGATGTGACCTCGAAATAGAAAATAAAACGAAATTATATTGACACGCGAAACAATAGCCGGGAATAGATTAGCAAAAACAAACGAAATGTAGGTCTATACATATAAGCCGGAAATGTAATTCATATCGAAGCTCTCGTGCAAACGTTTATAACGTATGATGGTAAAAGTTCTCAGTAAATCGAACCTAAAATATTTTAGCCACGAAAACATGATTCTGAATATATCAACAGTTCGGGATGGAATCTGAGGCTCTTTCATAACTGACTGAACGACATGCGTCATATAAATGTTTACAATATAAATAGATGAGAAACACTACATTAATATTTTGAAAATTTAAAAATCTCAAAACAACGAGTAATTTTAAACCAATGGTGTAATCTTTATATTATTAATACATTTTTAGTTTTCAATTAGAAACATTAATTATTTCATAAATTACAGTTGTACCCGCATTCATACAAAGAAAAATTATTCTTAAGTAATTTATCAGTTGTGTATTAGGAGATTAAATTTCAACCAACTGCAAATCCTATGAATATCTGGCTTCCCAAGTCGTGAAATCAACCCACCCAGCACACTGGGAAGTTCAAACTGTGACCGCCTACACCTTATTTCCGGCCCGCGTACAACCTTGCAAAATTGTGTGGGACTGCATGTTTTCTGGGGGGAATCCCTGTTGAAAAGTTGTTCAGAGTTTGTAGACACTTCAACATCTAATGAAGTTCGATTGTTTAGAAAATTAGATGATGAGCCGTCTTCTGGGTTGTAGCGTTGTATAGTCTGGTAAAAATTTACCAACGTTTCAGATGTCCTTGCTGTGCTACAACCCAAAAGACAGCCATTTTTATACTCTTCGCCGTGAGAACCTCAAATCTTACCTGAACAATATATGTTGAGGGGCCTATCAGTGGGGGAAAAAAGTTTAAAACCACTATTTTACAGATATCGGTCATGTGTTCTGTAAATGTTTGATATCCATGCATCGATCAGTACAAGTAACACAGAGTTTTGTATAAGTATCTAATCCCACCCTAAATATGCATCATATTAAAATAGGATTAAATTTTACAACAATTCATCAGCCAAAACAAACATTTTGCGATATATCACAATAAATACTGAGCGTCGAGAGGGCAATAATTCTTACAAGTGCTAATACGGATACACAGATCAATATATTAAACAAACATAGCTAACAACATCTTAATGTGGGAGATACATTATAATTTGTTTATATATCGGCACCAATATATGTGTTTAGAAATCCTGACAACTACATAATCTGGCTTTTACGACATATTTTCACGAGAAATTTAAGGCATTACGGGAGGTCTTATGTGCCTATTCCTGTGTATGTCCCATTTACTAAATTATTCGTCGGATTTATATACAATTTCATATCGGAGGTCAACACGAAAATCAATGGAATAATTTTATTTTAGCCCGTATCGGTCCAGTACACCATGTTTTATAAAATGTGAGTTTGGTTCATTTTTGGTTTGTTTAATAACACTTTCAGTAGACCCGCGTCAAATAATGTTTAATGAAGTGGAAAGATTATGGGGAAAAACCAATCGCGGTCTAATTTAAGATACAATCCCGACATTTCCAGAGAAGGGCCAATGGAAATGATGAAAAACCTCAGTCACGATAGCCAGCCTAGTTTTGTACTAGGGACCTCCCAAATACGAATCGTGAGTCCTAACCGCTATGCCGTGACGATCGGTAAAACCGATGTCAATTTCCCGACAGCAGTTCAACTTCGTGTAAAGCGTAGAATATGGAGGTCATTGAATTCTAACATTTTCATTTGTCAACTTTCTTGACGTAATTTAAAAGCTAACTGCAAATCGCATGTTTTCCGAACGCCCTGCTCAAGAATCCCTTTCCAAATTCTCGCTTAGGGTACCAATCAAATGGACGATCTTCGGAGAGACCCTACAAACCTTGGCATGAGGCCATAATTGACCACTAGGCCTGAAATGTGGAAGGCTGCTGATGATACATTTAACTTGCACAAGGACGATCATACATGCGCCTATAGTGTTACACAAGTGTTACTTACGCCACTATCAGCTCCACAACAATAGATATGTACCTACGGTGCATGAATGAAGTAAAGAAATATATGAGAAATATTTGTACTCCGCACAGTACACCTTCCCAGTGAATGGTTAAATTAGATATTCGATATTCTTACGTGTTCGTCTGGGCTGTGATGTCTTGAAGCGTTGAAGATGATTACCAACGTTTCAAAGCAACGTATGGTATACCTTCATGAACACTTCAACCTTGAAAACCGATACGTTCTCCCGGAAAGTTGGTTATCACCCACAAAACAGCACAACACAAAAGATCACGATCGAAAAAAGGTTTAAATTGCGTTGTGTGCATCTACTGTCACGTGCCCTCGTGAGCAAATCAGCTTCCCAGAAGTTGGTGTATAAATTATTCATTTACTTCAAGCGTGAAACATACGTCTTCTATCTCTGTTTTTCTGCGCTAGTGTTGGTCACTTTGCACATCCTCAATCTCGGGAGTTTCCGGGTCAAATGGCTTATATATGCTGAGCTTCAGCGTAAAAAACTGCTGAAAAATACGTATCAGTTAAATCTCTGCTACAGCTCTTTCCGATGCAGTAAAAACTTTTAGATAGAAGCGAATAGAACCCTGAGTTTATGAAGACAAAACCGCATTTCTCAGACTAAACAGCAACAGCTGAAAAGAACATTTCTTGAATTGGTCCATTTCAAGCTGCTTTAGAAACTTCCATCCGAGAAATCTCTTCAATTATTCCTGAATATACCCTTTTCGCAGCAAATCAAATTAGAAGTCACGTTACATACTATTCATTTTGCGGTACATTAAATTACATGATAAACTTTTCAAAATAGTTTTATTAAAGCAATGATAAAGGTACGTAAATAATTTAGATATTGTAAAAATAATATATAACTCAGAGGGTCTCATTATAGCCAAAACGACTCCGAATAAATATATCAGCTGTCACAAACATAAAGTAATAGTAATAATAGGCTAGAATTATTATTATTTTTCATATATGTAATTATATGTGCTATTCACCAAGTATTATTAAGGCCATCCGATTCAGTTTTATGTGATAAAAGAGATCGCATAGGAAAGATAAAAAAATGCATTCAAAAGTTTTAGTCGGATAAAATAAAAGGAATATATCACTTGGAAGGTGCAGACAATAATTGAACGATTGTTTTCAAATTAACGGTAATGAAACAAGATAGGTTATGTAGACAGAATTTGTTTATTTCAGGAGGGGGGCTCTTGTAAGTTCGCTTGTATTATCCTGACAATGGCTGAATATTTTAGTACGTCTGTACTTTCCGATCAAGAAGAGTAAAGCTCTTAAAAAGTATTTTATTATTCGGACTAACAGCTCCGTTACAGATATTTGAAGCCATATTTAAACCAGTTGCAATTAATTATTTTTCTCTGATTTTGTATACACAACAGATTTTTTAATGTAAGCGAATATTGGAATGTTCTCTAAATGGGGGGAAGAAACTTCCATCCCTACTTCAACGTTATTCTGACTGTAACGAATTAATTTAATTTAAAATTTGATTCAGTCGCACAAAAAGTACCAATTCTAGTGAGATGGCAGGCGAGTAAATACTTTCGTATCACAAAGTAAGAAGGCAAACATTTTTCCGGCGGACAGCAAAGCAGGCCTCGTTCATTGCCCCTAGTAAGTAATTGAGTTACGTAATTTCCCTTCATGGACCAAACAGCGTTTGGCTGCCATGAAATAATTGCTTGAAAGATCCGTCTACAAAAACAAACAAAGTGAACTTCAGATGTTTCAAACTTGAACTAACCACAACTGCATGTTTAATTTTGCCTTCAAGGTAAGAGACCTCTCCAATTCAAACATTCCACACAGAACCGCTGCAAAGCTTAAAATTTAGTCGCAACCTCCTTTTTGAGCGTTCATTTTTATTCTTAATACGAAAAAGAAAACGCTTAAAGCAATTCTTGTGGGTTCAAAGTCCCTTGAGTCAATAATATTATAATGTATTAATTTATTTTGAAGCAAATAAACACATTAAAGTTCCATTTGCATTCTGGAGTTATCAAAACGTTTACATTCCATTTCGTGTTTTATTATCGATACCCCTAACAACTGCGAAGATAATACAGCGTTAAGCTTTAAAGAGCCTTGCTGACAACTTGTAGGTTAACATCTGTAATGGTTATAACATAGCCAGAGTAGTACGTTAAATAAGACTATGACCGTTTGCTTCCGAACACTTTCCAATTCATTATTCACTAATATTTCCATTACTCTACGCTACATAATCTGAACTAATCAAACATCCGTAAAATAAAATAAAAATAAATAAATAAAATAGCATGTATTATTCTTTTTGAGAAAGTAACACCTTATTGGCCCGTCTGTCTGTCTATCCGTCGCGGTTCTTTTTTTCCCCAAAAATTCCCATTGCTTCACAACAAAAAGACCTCGGCTGGCATTAGTGAAACAACGACCTAAGGTTAGGTTAAAAGACAGTGTTTTACAAAACGTTTCTTAAACCATTTATGCACTCGAGTCGTACGTCGTCACTCGTATTGTGAGTGTTACGGCCTCGTACGAAATCCTGGTATCCTAGTAATTAAGATACTCTATACAGCGCCCTCCTGTCGTAAACGAAGTATAAAATATGATGCATTTGATTACTATATAATTATTTTATAAAGGCACTTCATCAAATTCCTGGTCATTTCACAGAACGTAAAGATTGATCAAGGCTTTATTTTATTTCGTTAAAAGTAATATCTTATATTATACAGTGCAACACTGAGTGTTATATACTTAAGTTAATTACTGGCTCGTTCAAGTTCCATACGAAACAAATTACATGCTCTATAAGGAATAAAAAACGCCACTGAACAAAAATATGTCGTTTATTAAGTTCACTGTTATTCAACATAAATATTATGATAAATGCTGTAACGCAAATGCTTATTATGTAGTAAATAATTATCAGGGGAGCAAAATATTTTCACCTCCACAATGAGTAGGGTATTGTATTTTGCCTATAAAACACACACACACACATACATATATATATAAGGAAAATACGTAACGGGGTTGCTAAGGTATTAATAATTATGAAGGAGAAACACATTATCTGAGAAGAACCGAATGCAGTTAGTTAGAAAATGGTTAGTTTTATGGAAAACAATTGATCACAAAACTAAAACCAATCCTTATATTCACACCCTATTTCATTTATATTATCCTTTCAGCCACGCCTATTATTCCCAAGCGGTTTGTTCCCTTGAGTCTCCCCGACCAAAATCGTGTACGTAATGCTTCCTCCATGCGTACTACAGACCTCACAAACCTCAAACTCAGTGATTTAATCTCCCGAAACACAAAGTGAAGAGTGTAGGTTATTAAGATCCTCATTTTGTTTCTTAGGTACCCCTAACATGCCCTTTTTAATAATTCCAGAATTTTTGATAAATAATGTATTGTAAATAATGTGAACAGGCAACAGGAATACACTGTACTTGAATAAAAGTCTCAAGAATCATGGCTAAGTCGTGATATAAGGAAATTTAAACGGCTCAGGAACTGAATGAAAGTGTCACGTGATAACGATGGTGAAAGTTCGGATTGTTTTGGTGCTGTTGGCACTATTGGTGTCAGTGAACACAGCAGCTCCCAAAAGCAGAATTGGCAGTGGCATGCGTAAATCTGGAATGCTACAAAGGTATTTAAAACGCGTAACGTTCGGAATTTTGTTACCCCATTCTACGTTCCGGCAGCGAAAATACAACAGCACAGTGCTGGCAACTTTGGCGACATACCACAAAGCAAGACCGCAGTACACACTCGCCAGGAAGTACAACGTAACCTACAGCGTGGCCATGGTTGGACGCAAACCAAGTCCTACACGTAAGTGTTACATGAACATACATATAACACAATTACGATTAAGACTATAATGCAATTAATATTCTCCATATCAAATGATGGTTAGAATAAAAGTTACAGATGTGAATAAGATATACTAATATTGTGTACGATAAGCTGCTTTTGAGAAAACAGACGAAATTCTATGACCTAACGTAAACCACGGCTCCAACATATGACAGTGCCAGATACGAGACTTTATTGAATTCCTTTCACTAGTCCCACAGAAAAAGAAATGCAGATCGCCAACTGGCACACACGACCTCCCACAATGCGTTTACTGTAGTAACGCACCTCCTGCAAGGTACAGAGAAATATGAAATCGAGGATCTATTCAGTGAATCACATTTGAATTATATTAAGGTTTTTAAAATTCATTTTCGAAGACACTACGACTGAAAAGCAAGTATTAAACTCCTGATGCAAAACACAGTAGACCCTTTCCGCTTATTAAATTTATTAAAATGCAATAAGCCAACAAAAATTTATAACTCACATCGTACATTTAACTAAATAATTCTTGCAATTCTTGATTCTCTTAAGCACACTGTGCACCTATTACCTGACAAGCAGATCACTTTAATTTGCGTTAAGAAAGCAGACACCCGTATCTAGGCAACCATCGGAACCTAGCCTCGTGCAGTGCGGGAGGCATAGTTCACTTCATTACCCGAAGTAATCTCATTGCTTGCCCTATTGTCCGCTTGTGTGCGTGTGTGCCTCAGGGGAGGCTGTTTTAATACACACACTGTGTTCTACTTTTGCTGTGATCATCTCCTGCCAAGCTGCTCTCCCGTCAGAGCACCGAGTTGCTATTCCAACACATCACACGTAAATAATACATGCGTTATCTGACGCTCACATTCCAATCGGTAGCAAAAGGGCCGAAGAGTCGAAACTCTGTTAGTGACGATTAACACTGTTGTTAGAATTTTCTACACAGGATTTCGGATAGACGAAAATTATCCCTTTATGCATTACTTTTAACACAAATTTTGAAACAAGTTACTACTTTAATATGTATTTTATTGAAACATTTCTTTAACAAAATTACACAGCCGCAGACCACTAAATACGGATTAATACTTTAGTCTATTACCATTGTGGAAATGTTAATGTAGTAAAACAATTCAACAGATGAGCTCTTGTTGATTATTATCTTCGTTTATTATTTTAATAGAAATATTAGACTCTGCAATAATTTAACGTCCAGCTAGTAATTCCTCTACAAACACTGACCACTAAGTACGTGAAACTATATCTAAACCAAATCCAAGTCTAACGTTGTGATGAAAATGTTAATCCAGGAATAAATTCAATAGGTGTCTGACACGACGTCCGTTTCAATTATAATTCAGCCATTCTACTAGAAAGACTGAACGGTAAAGACTTCTTCATCAGGATAATCAAATTCGTACTTTAATAATTCGGCTTCGGATGAGATTTAACGGACTAAATAAACCTAAGTTACCAGCAAACATAATCAATATGAAGATGGCTGTTTTCTGGGTT